TAGTGTAGCTGGTGTTTCTAACGGTTGTCACAGCCACTGACACCAGGCTGCTGTTAAGAAAGATTGCCAAATATTGCATTTTACAGCTTGAAAACTGTCTGAAAAACTTTAAAAGAAGACAGAAACACAAGGAGCAGGAGACAGATTTACAAAGGTGCCAGGGAAGGGATAAGTTGGAAAGAAATCAAGACAAGACAGTGAGAAGGAAAGGAGAGAATATGTGGGGAATGGAGACAAATGTACCAGGCAGGAAACCAAGTGAAGGGAGAAGGTGAAGGAGGAAGGAAACAGGATGGTTAAAAAAGGGACAGCGAGGGAAGAACAGAAAAAAGGGAAGAAAAAATAGTGATAAAGGAGCCAGTGGAGGAGGGGGAAAAGCAAAGCTCCTTTCTAAGAGATAAGGGAAAATAAATGGAGTTTCCTGCTTGAAGCAGCCAGCAGTAGAAGGAACATATTACTGGGTGTGCGTTTCAACAATAAATATAAATTAGACTGGTAACAAATTACACAGGGGTGTCTTTGCCCAGACCAGAAATCACAGAAAGAATAACTGATATTCTCATCAGTCTTGCCATTTTGGGGTCCTTGGACAGGCAGAGATGGAAACATATCGACTACGGAAGAGCAGTATCCCTTCCTGTGACGGGCTCTGGCCTCACATCCCCTGTGTAGCTCTTTATTCTTTTGATCACAGACATGAAATGCAGAATTAGTTATTATTTGGCTTTCTTTCCCCCCTGAAATTCAGCAGACCTCCATGTAACACTTTTGTCTGCTTGCATGAAACACCCCTAATTGCTGCTTATACTTTTTGAATATAACCTTCACTGAAGATCCATTCAAAGAGGACAAAAGGATGCTACTGCTGGACAGAGCTGCGCTCTTCTGCTTCTCAGATTGAGATCATCCAACTCAGCGTGCAAATGCTTTAAGGTGGGCACTTATTCATCCTGCCAGAAGAGTTTGATGCAATGGCTGTTTGAGTATTATTTATATCGCATTAAAAATATAGTAGTAAGCTTTAAAGTCTGCAAGGTCAAACCTTCAGAAGAGAGGAGATTCCCAGGCTAAGGCAGGATAACGTTCCTGGCCTCATATGCCTATGCACTATGACAGATTTTAATCAGAGGATGACAAGCAATCTTTTGCAAGGGATCCCCTTATCATTCAATGCATAGGGTTAGACATGAAATTATATCTTTCCAAAGAACTTTAATCCATAAAAATCCATCATAGAAAACTTAGGTAATGGTTGATATTTGGCAATCAAAGAGCTGCGTACAGAGCCTGCAGACCAGGAAACATCAGGCAGTGATGCTTTCTGCAGTGCTTGTGACTTTGTCTGGAAATCTCTAAATGTAATTACTGTCAAGTATAAGTACTTTTTTGTGCCAGGTTGGTGGAAATACGTAACGATGGCTTACAATGTCGATTAGTTACAAACACAACAGGTCATGTAATTAGCCTTGGTGGCATAATAAAACACAGCTGCATAGCAGCCATCACCCCTTCCAGGCTGCCTGGCTGTGGGTTGGAGGAAACTTTAGGGAGAGTATGGGACTGGTCACGAGCAGCACAACATGAATTCTCTCCCTGCTGTTTGCCTCGCATGGAAAGACCACCCTCAGTCCCCAGGGACCAAGCACCAGCACACCTGAGGGTGAGACACACATGCTTGAGTGGATAGTCCAGCCCTTCCAGCCCCCTGTTCAACCAGGTCCCTGGGTTCCACATCAAGTGGGGTCACGTATGGTTTCATGGCAAAGTGAGCAACAATCTCCAGTGCTTTGCTAGGAAAGCCTTCATGAATCCATGATAGCATTGCAGAGCAGGACATGGAGAGAAAAGGGGAGTGCCCTCCCACCCCCACTAACACCATGGGCTCTGATGCCAGGAGAAAAACATTTCCAATTCAATTTTTTTCCTTGTGGCAAAGCTGAGATTCCCATTCAGGACATTTTAAAAGCCATAAATCCAAGCATCCACAGTAGAACTAAAATTGGTCCAGATCAGGCAGGCAAACACCATCACGGTGAGCTGCCTGCTTAAAGCCATCTTACCAAAGCCAGCGCACAGCTGCATTTTCTTTCAAAATACTACTGCAGCCTTTTAAGAGAGAGGGGGAATAATCTAAATTCTGGCAGTGGGGAATATTTCACAAATCATATATGCTTTGGCATCGAGCCCTTAAAGCCAGGGGCCTTTACTCACAGGCTTTGCTGGGAGACATCCACCCACCTCAAGTGGGATTAATTAAAAGAGGCATGTATCATGCAAATAGTTTCTGTTTCCTTACAGAAATATTCAGAGCACATAACCCAAACCAGCTTTAGAATCACAGCGAAGCGAGGAAGAAAATTATTTCCTGCTCCCCTAACCTTTTTCCTTTCCCTGTACTCTAAGCAAGGAACACAGAAAATGCCAAGAACTTGCTATTTCTGTACAATTCCTTTGAGTAAGTGCTAATAAAGTCGAGGAAAAAAAAAAAGGATTTTTTTAGAGGCAGGGGCTGTATCTCACTGTAAGGTGCCCGATTCTCCAAACCAAACATGTGCTCAGCCACTCGCTGGGAAAGGATGGTCCACGTCTTACCCCTGAAAATGATCTTTTTATTTTGAGGCAGAACAGGAGACAATAGAAAACTTTTATTTCTTCAGCACGTCAGGATTTTCAGCTCCACGTGACAGTGACAGAGGCTACAACAAAAAGCTCCTTTGGAAAGCTAGCTGAACTTTATAACTTTCTTCTCTGGAAGCTAAACTATTTCCCGAGATATGAGAGATTCTGACGCTTCAAGGAATTGTTGCAGAAAATGGTTGAGCGCTCAGAGCCCAGGGCCCCAGTTCAAAAGTAAGTCACAGAGAAAGCTCAAGTTTCCACAAGAACTCTTCCTCAAAACTATATTTTTTTTCCCTTTTAATATCTCAGACCCATTTTCTGAGTCAATTTCCTATGATCCTGCAAAGGCTGTTATTAAAACCAGACCAAGCACAGTAGAAATTCCAGGGCTCAAAAGAAATGTTGCATAGGTGCAGGGGCTGGCTGCACCGTCCCCCTCAGGTGATTTCCCCTGCAGCCCCTTCCCTGGGATTTCCTCTCTCCGAGTTTAGTCAGCAGGAGAAACCTGAAGTTTCAGCAAAACGGCAACCCTTCCTTCATGCTTAAGCAGCTGAGATTTTTTTTGTCTGAGGCTTTCATAGCTCTAAAAAAGACATCTAGGATCCAGTCCAGAAGATGTGTATTGCAGATATTTTTTCCACAAAAATGTCAGGCAGTCATACATTCAATTATATATCTGGCTACAGCATTTTCAAAACACTGCCCTCCTTTATCAGCCACTTGCTCCGCATGCCACCAGCGGCCGTCGTGAACCGAGTTGTTCGCAGGCTGCTTACCCAAGTGTCTTTTGTGTGCTAGAAAATTCCTTCCTGCTCTCCATCCCACCTCTCACTTTAGCATCAAAAAGATCATCATCAGCCATGCTCTTGGCAAAGCCACCTCAGGAGAGCGGTGTCCATGCAAAATGACAGCCAGGCAAGACGAAGGAGACATGCTCGTGTGCAAGGCAAGGGGAGAGATGCCAGGAGCTATGGTTCTCTCCAGCAGTACAACTGACAAAACCCTGGACCTCATCTCTGTATCTAGGATGTGATTTCTCCTCTGATGGCACAGGGGAAACGCTGGGGCCAGTGCCCTTCAGCTCCGTCCCAGGCTCTCCCAGCGAGGGGATGCTGCCTGGACTTCTTCCCTTTCAGCGTGAAGTTTTGTTCCCAGAAAGGCAATTCCAGGTCTCTCCCCAGCGGTCCTACAGCAAGCTATGGGATGGCCACTGAGATGAAAGGCTACGTTTCATGGTTAGGCACTGATGCAACAGCGCCCTTTTCATAGCAAACATATAAAAAATACCTCATTCCTTTGAGACACCTCATTTATTTATTTTTCATATTATTAAGGGCAATTACGTTAGAAACACTGAGCCTCAAATTTAAGTTACTGACAACTACAACAGATCTCACCTATTTACAAAAAAGTTTTTCTCCAAAGGTTCTCTTCTCAATGTGCACATTTTCTTTTTGTTTGTGTTTAACTGGTATTTTTTTGCAACCTGTGACTAGCTTTAATGTAACAGTTAATTTATTAAAAATGGAGAAAACCCTTTGTTCCGACATTGCCTAATCTGCCCATGCCTCTCGTAATTTAGGAAGTTACTGAAGCCCTTGGAATCAGAGGCTTTCAGATATTTATATATATGAGTGATTACATGTATTATGTCATTATGAAAATAAATATTAAAGACGTTTTATTCATATAACTTATATAAAAAAGCAGTTAATGCCACACAAAATTATAAAATATGCAAAGCTACTTTAAAAAATGCTGATAAATGCAAAGCCCTGGGAAGGAAAAGAAATGATGTAGTCATGAAAATGCTGTTCCGTAACAAATGGCTTTGTACTGTATGACCTCCACTGTTAGACAACTATGGACTGTTTTCAACTGGCTGTAAATTACTTGCCTTGTGGAATAAAAATCAGACTCCTATCAGTTTGTACCACTGGTTCTATGAGGATGGTTCTTGTTCTCTCCCAGAAGAGCCATTACTTCCCCTGGTGAGGACTGAGAACGCCAGAAGTGAGGAGCTGTACCCCTGCACCTCTTCTGGTGGAGGGGTAATGACCTCTCTCTCTCTGGGAACCCCTACGTGGGTATAACACAACCAAAACAGGGGCTCTTAATGTAAAATAATCTAGTGTCTTCAAATTGACTGATAGGATTTTTTTTTTCCCCATGAAAAAACTTTCTCTCTTTCAAAAAGTCATATTTGTGCTAAAAATTGGTTCCTCAAAATGCCTTTGACTTTCTGCAGAGAATGCCCAATTTTTGCTTTGTTACAGGACTTATTCAACAATGGTGCTCGACTTTCCAATACAGTGCAGAATCTGTCTGTTATGCTAGAGGGAGAGAACCATGCCCACCACCAGGAACATAAGACATCTTACCTTGGGACGCTGGGAGGAGCCCGGGTCGGCCGAGAGGGAACCTGGGGAGGTCCCCCAAGGGCTTCACCACCACTTGGAAATGGAGGTAGTGGTCCTGGGCGGAACGGGACTGGGGGAGCCCCCGACTGAGGACCTGGAGATGGGATTGCAGGAGCGGGTCCTCGGCCAGATAAAGGTCTGGTTGGGGGATTGTTTAATGTAGGCCTCCTCTGAGTTGAGGGACTTGGAGGAGGTGATCTAGTGAAATACCAAGAGATTTAAGAAGTTCAGTAAAGTGGGGTTTGGGGTTTTTTTTTGTGTGTGTTTTTTTGTTGCTGTTATTTTTGTTTTATTATTTTTTACTTTCTAAACAGAAATAAAACCCTTTTTTATGCCTATGACAATTGTTTTTTTCTTGGTATTTTCCTTTGCTCTCAGTGTCAGAGCATCACATATATTGCAGTCTCACACCTGCCTTTCCCACAGACAGCATGCCTTACCACAGTCAAAAATAAACATATGAGCCAAGAAATAAATGTAATGGACTTTAATATTAGAGCTTTAATAATGTTCTGTTCAGTGGATTTTCTAGGACATGGAGCCTGAAGTGCTGAATTATTATAACAGCTTACAAGAAGAGGCCATGGGATATACAAGAGGGGTGACAGTAGTGGCTGCTATCTGAAGCATCAGACAAGCTATAAATCCCCTAGATGGTCTTCTACAAGGCAAATATCCTGTCTGGTGTTCACATACGTACCGATAGAATATCTAAATGTGGTAAAACGTTCTGATTTCCCTCACAAATGTCAGGAAAGACCTGGAGGAGTATCTGCCCAAAGAATCAGGTAGGGAGGCAGCTGCTGATGCTGACAATGTCTGCCTGTCCCAAATTTCATTGCAAAACAGATATGGGGATCCTCACCTGCGAGCCTGCTGAAGCCAAGAGTCATCTACAGGAGGGGGTGCAGGGGTTGAGACCGTGCTGGTGCTAATATCTCCAATGATTGCTAGGGCTTCCTTTAGTGCTTGGTACATGCGGAGCATCTCATCTCGCCTCTGTGCCTGTTCAGCTGACTCCTCCATTAGAGTGTTTTGGTCCTCAGAAGAATACAAGTGAGCCAGGAGCTCTGCGTTGATAAATTCTTTTACCTATTTCATCAGACAAAAAACAAAACAAAACAAAAAAACAACAAACAACCCCCAAAAAACCTCACCAAACAAATAAACAAAAAATAAAACCTAATGAAAATACAATACTGAACAAAGACACCGTGAGATCCATGGAACCAGGAGACAGACATATGTCAATTTAATCTCCTTCTCCTACTACCATACATCAAATCTACCGGTCAGATCAGGGAACTGGGATCAAGCGAATGGTGCAGCAGCCTGAGGCCTAGTGGTAGCCCACAGAGCAGCTGGAAGAGGATGGATTGGACATTTCAGCAGCTGCCTGCACGCCAGTGGACTTAATGCAATGATGAAGCCATGTTCTGAGACAACAATTCATATATGAGGATAAGATGGTTTAGTGCAGTCACTCGACAATGCACTGTGGCCTTGTTTTGTGTCTGTCTTTGACAGACTGGACGTGGTTGAAGTTAGCAGTGGTCTGTGTCTCTAAGGTGACACCTATGTTTACCATTCATTTCCAACAGGCTTCCTAACAGCTCCCAGGAGTCAGCTGGCATTTTGGCCCAATTCTAAAGGGCTGAGAAGTAAATGGCAGCCCTTAGCAACACCATCCAATATTAAATTCCTCCAGGAATAGGAATTTTTAGGCTTTATAACATCTCTGTGAATTATTTTCTTAGCAACAATTTACCCTACTGTAGACGGTGTCTTTCATCTCCAACAATTTTGTCAGATTCTAAATATCCCATCCACACACATTCAAAGTGAAGGGAGAAGTCTCCAAGTAATCTCATTTACTATCCTGATTTCCTGCTACATCTGCCCTGGTTATAGAAACCTGGGCCACATTAAGAGAGATAAAAAGCTAGAGGTACTCTGATTAAATAGGACTGCGGTAAATAGACCAACTGCTGACCTTCTAAATCCTTGCATTTGAGACTTTTGTTGCTGTTCTGATCTATTCCTCATCTGGCTTTTTGCTCTATAAAGCTTTTTCGAGCTGGAGATACTAACGATAATGCATTCCCAAGATTCTGATTACATAAACCTGCGCTCCGTTTGTGCTAGTTTAGCAACTCTGATTTAAATCCTGACAGTTTGACTAAGGCAAAGTTTGTGTTCAGACAAGGTCAGCGAGAGCAGCTGAACTGCACGGGCATGGGACCCTTTACGCTCAGCTATCAAAGAAGGCCAGGGCAGACCTTAGAGGGAAACAAAACTATATTGCCTGGGCTTGGCTGTCATTTTCCATTCACGTATGACAGGAGATGCACAAATTCTTAGCAAAGCCTGCAAAAATTTTCCATGAGTCTCATGCTGTTTTCCAGTAGATGGTACTGATCAAGAGCCAGAGTACACTACTTTCCTCACGATTGCCAAAAACTCCACATTAAAAACAGATACCATAGTTAAACAGCATCACATTCTGCTCGATGAAATGAGCATTTTAATGGCATCACTTCAAAAAAAGAAGTCGTCGGCCTAAAATCAGATTAAAGCCAGAGCTGATTGTAAAAGCATCGTTAAACCACAAGTATCTGTTTGAAAAAAATCAGCCTGTGACAATTATAATGAGAGATCCCTGTCTGCCACTAGCAGGAGACTCGAGTAACTCCCTGAACTCTTCTGGAAGGGGAAAACAGTCGGATGCACTGTACTGGATAGAGGAGGATCTTCCACAATAGCCACGTTCTCCAGCTTGGAAAAGGAAGAGAAAGCAACACTTACTCACGCCTTTGCTCCTTTCTAGAAAACAGACTCACAGGAATGGTTTAAAACCTTTTCCTGCACAGACATCAGACCTGCACCAGAACCACAGCCACTGCCACCAGCCTGCCCCATCGCTCCATAGTGGGATAAGGTGGGTGTGCAACTTCATTCACCAGCAGACAGGCTACAACATCCATCACTGCCTCAAATGCTAATATAACCCATTCCTTAACCTTAAGTCTGGTAGTAGCAAGCACTTTGGAGCTTTTCTGCTCATCTGAGGTTAATATCAGCACTGCTTATGGAGTATACACTGTCTACTGTAGGACCACCCCTCTTGTATAATCTGCAATGCCTAGGCACCACGAAACACAACATTTGAAACGTGTGTTTTCTTTGTGCGAGTTTGAATTGCTAAGGGTAACTCAATGCCGTTCTGTGTGGGAAATGTATTTTCTATTAAGGTAATCAACATCCACCCTAAGGGAAGAATAAGAGATGCATTTGGAATACAACAATCTAGACTTAGACCTCAAAATCTGCTTAGGGACAGCATCTCATTATTTTCTGTACACTGAGCTGGAGTCCAATACTTCCCCTTGAATACTAAGTGCTCATTTACAGGCCCACAGAATGGAAGTTCTAGGAGAACTTGGGAGGTTACAATTGTCATGGAAACAAACTCCTTGGGATCGATTTGTTTCCAGAGTTTTGGAGGAAACACGATGGGGCAGCAAAAAGTCCAGAATATGCTCCTTAAGGGGGAGGGAGGGTGTTTTCACTTAACTCCTGGTGGATGGGTTGGACTTGTGAAGACTCCAAGGAACACACACACAACTCAACAGGACCCACCTTCCATCACAGCTCCACTGCTTTCCAGGTCTTTGCACAACCTTTTGGTGGGGGGCTCAGCAGTCTTAATTCCAGCATTTCTTTCTCTTTTTAATAGCACTGATTTTTTAAAAAATTGATATTTCAGCTATTGCTTTTAATGTGGTATTTCACTGCCTCTGCTGCACAGCAACAAGTGTGTTAATGTTTTCACTCTCACTCTTCACAGTCCTTTAAAATGTTTTGATTCTTTGCCACAAATTTAAATTCTAGGATTGAGATGTAAGTCTTAGCTCACTAGCAAGCCCAAACACAGCTATGAAAGGTAGAAGATATTGTAAGTAGGTTTTTCCTGAGTGCCATGGTCAGCCAGCGTGGCAGACTTTACCAATGTAACTGCCGATGACAGTGAAAGTACAGAATCCTAAAGTATTCTACTTCTGAGAAAAGCACCCACTCCAGAGACCCTTAAACTATTCCATATGAGGAGGTGAGTGGTAGAAAATTTAATGTAAACTTTCAGAAGGAATTGCTCAGCGAACTCTGCAGTTTATGAAATGAGAGCTGAAACCCAGCCCTTTCAAAAGGCACTGGAGTCGTGCTAAGTCGCAGGAGCAAGTTGCTAGCTGTGATCTGGAAAGAGTAGAGGGAACAAGCTCACCCTATAAATTCAGAGCATGGATGATTTCAAGAAAAAAAAAAAAGGGCAGTTCCATTGTTCCCATGCTCTTTTGTAAAAACTCACCCATGACGAGAGCATTATTTGGAGCCTGACTCCCCTGCACCTAAAGAAGTTAATGGAATACCTCTTGCCTTGTGCAAAAATTCCGCTCATATTATATGTACCAGGAAATCCCGTTGAAATTTCCTCTCCAACCACCTGACTCTTAAGTGCAACACAAATTCCCCAGGACTAATGGAATCCATCAGACTAAGGCTAGAGATGGCTCTGAGTCAAAAGTAAATGCTACCTTCCAAACAGATTTGCCTTATAGCATCTTGTGTTTTAAAAACCAATTGGTTTGGTGACCTGACAGAAAAGGTGCTACCTGTAACTAACAGGAGCTGTGCTCTCCGTTATTAATTTATATGGTAGCAGTGGCACTAATATTAAGCTTAGTTTTCAACAAGGTCCATTCTGAGCTCTGCCAGGAAGCGGGGGCCGAGATACTAGTGGAGTGGAAAACCAAGGATATTTCAAAGCCATTTCTTTAACCAAATAATCTTCAGATCTGAGAAAGACACACACAATAAATCAAACAACCACATCTGCTTATCTAAACAACAGTGTCCGAGGCTCCTAGATTTATTCCTTGAAAACAGTAACTTGAAAATATAAAGAAACCCAAATAAAATAAGAACTGCTTTAAGAAGCCGTGACAAAGGGCTACAGATGGAAAAATAAAGGAAGCACAACTCTGCTCTGCTGCTCTCACAGACTGCCTAGATGGAGCTCCCAAATCCCTTTTCCTCTTATATCAAAAGTAAGACAGGAAAAAAAAAATCCTTGATTTACATTTAAATATTAATTTATATTCTGATTAAGATGTAAATGAATTCAATCTTTGGCATTTTGGAGTAAGCACTCCAGGCAGCGTGCCAGACTGTCAGAAGGCTGCAGAACTTCCTATTGCTGCAGAAGAGTGGAATATTTTGGCCAAGAGCGTGGCATTTATGGGAGGGTGTTCTTCTCTTTAGTACCTGCTGTTGTTGCTGTATTCAAGAGGTGTGTTTGTATGAGCAAAAGAGATTTGACAGACATGTTAAAATAATTTAGAACCCAGCCTGTTACTTACATTATTAATCATAAGATGCATGATTGTTTTCGGTATCAAATCTCGGATACATTTGTTGATAATAGACATGTAGGAGTCCACAAGATTTCGAATCGTCTCCACCTGTCTCTCCAGCTGGGGGTCCATTGAAAAATTGTCTGCTTGGCCATTCTCATCATTTTCAGTCTATACAGAAGTAAAAAAAAGAAAAGTCAAGTCTTTCAGACTGTAGTAAGCTAGAAATATATTGGGGAAAAAACCCGGACTTAGACTGTAGTAGTCCACCAACGTAACTCATACAAAGAATGTCTGGAGGTCAAAAGATTATGTACTGGCCTGTTTAACATTAGTGCTTAACATCATGAAACCTGGACTTGGAGAGGTTAATGCAATATGAGATGCCAGACCTTTTTCACAAAGTGCATTACATACTGCCACACAGATTTATAATTTTTTATTAACCCAAGTTTTCAGCCATAGATGTGCGGTGGTAAATGAAACCCCAAGAAATGATCGATCACTTACTGCAGTACTTATTATCAACTCTTTTACCATTCAGATTCAGCCAGCTTGACCCATGCAAGAAAGAAGCACTGTAAGTCTGGATTTTGAATTTCCCCTCCCATGGGTAACAACAATATCCTTGTTATTTAGGGCTGAGTCAGATGTGACAAATTCCGTAGTTCAGCTGCAAACTTGTTAGATGTGAATAGCACCTATATAAACAAAGGATTTATGAAGGATAACAGCAAAACCATCACTGGTTCCAGTGCTCAAGGCCCAGTATAACACAGGATGGGTTATATATTAGATGTCTCTTTTTCATTGGACAGAAGAAAATTTCTTTGTATGTACACAGATGACCTAATTAAAGCAAATACCAGGAACTTCAACTGGAAGCTAAAAGGCATGCACTTTGTTCTGTCTGACCTGTATAAATATAAGAAAACCTAAAAAAAAAAAAAAAATAGTAGCCCCCCCTTTGACAAAAAGTAAACTACGTTCTGAGGCACAAAGATGCCAAAAGAATGGAATTTCAACCTGGAAAGTACAAAGAACAACATCCTCTCCCCAAACTCTGCCATGTAATACTCCCTGAAAACGACCCCCAAAGCCGCAGTAGCAGGAACCATAAAACCTGGTTCTGCTGGTACCTAGAAGCATAATATGAAGAAAAATAAATTACTTGCAAAAAGAGAATAACCCAATAACCAGAACTAGTTATATACCAGCCAGACCCCTGTCAGCACAACTCCATTTCCAAGATGGCATATAGCTAAAATTGACACGCTACTAGTGCTTTACAGATTCCCCGAGCCATTCTAATTGGGAGCTAACTCATCAGCAAAAGACCACCAGAGCTAGAGACACAAATGTGTCACCAAAGAGACTTCTCCCTGCATGAAACCCATTCTTGCTGGCCCAAAAAGAGATTCCTAGTTTCGTCTCCTAAGGCAGGACCTGCTTCTGCTCAAGCAGCATTAGCAAGCAGACCACTTTGTGTTTACTCCTTGTAAACCATGACTTGATCAGTCCAGTCTCAATGAAATGGCAATGGTTGGGATTTGTTAAGTTCTAGTTTTGTTAAGAAATAAGATCCAATGTCCCATTTAGAAACAAAACTAAATGTTTGTAAAGGAACTTTCAAAAGTTCAGATTGTTTTTAATTACAGACAAATTACTGGAAAACCAGTCAATCTATGGTCTTTAAAAATAATTAGCAGTGCTTCCTAAAAATCTTGGGACTGTAGAGGACACTGAAAGAGCTCTTGATGAAAACAGTGTTTCCAATTCTGTAACACCAGTAGACACACTACCCTGTAAGCCTTAATCATTTTGTTAATAAACTGCATATGCCAAAAAGTCACAGCATACAGATTGAGTATTCTCCTTAGCCTCCATGTCTGAAAAGAAACTAACTGTAATTTTCCCTGTGAAATACCAAATAAATGTAAAATCATACACCAATCATGTATCAACAGATTTTAGCCAAGTAACCGCAGACCGAAAATGCCCCTTTCCCAGTTCCCCTGCATTTGTCTTCTATTCTCTTTCTTTTCTTCTTTGCTGTCTATATAAAGTACATTGTCCATTTTTTTTCTTTTTTTTTCTTCACTGTTTAAATTACAGATTGCAATAAGATTCTTAGCTGGCTAAGCAGCAAAGTGACAGATGTTTATCATTATCCTCATCAAGAGAATGTAAAGTAAAAATAGTAATTTGTCTCTGATCTTTAACACAAAGGCTAATAGTCTGCAAACATTTAACCTTTTCTATACAGGCTCATAGGTGATATTTACAGAAAGCAGATAATACTTCAGGAGTCCATCTCTTGTCTGAAACTGTAATAGAGCTGACTTCATACTGTTGATTTATTTTCTCTGAAATCAAAAAAGATCAATCTTTCATGAGTTTACAGTAATTCATTACAAAAGCTTCTGGCCATAGCATTTTTGATGATTTGATGTCTCAACTGAAGGCTTTTCATGCCAGAAACCATCTTGTTTGCATTGCATCATGCACATGGAAATCTGCTTCTAACAGATTTCTGTGCCATACGGTGCACCTGCAAGCGTTACCAGGCTTTCTTCTGCAAGCCCTCTCTGTGCTGTACCAACAGCAGCATCTGCGGGTGAGGCTGCCTGGTAAAGCTGGGCATCACAACAGACAGAAGCAATGGAGATGCCCTATTCCATCTCTGTGCCATCCTTTCAAAACGGCTGGTTTTCTCACTGGGCATCACTCCTCAGCCCCAGTCCCTGCCACTCTGCATTCTAGACAGGCTTTTGCAATTCTGCTGTAATGAACAAACCCCAACCAGAATACGTAACAAAACCCTCACATCTCTCTGACCACCCTTGAACAGAATGTTCATGTTGGACAGAAAAGGAGAACAAAGAATGTGGGAACAGGTTTCTGTTCCTCCTTTCCCAGCAGCCAAGGCAGCCACAGTCCCCTTTCAGTGCTCCTCATCCTTGAGCCAGAATTTGCTAGTTCCAATAGCAAGTGTTAAGCCACAGCACACAAATCTGGGCTAAGTTTGTGTTCGGTTGATTCTTGCTTAATACTACTATTAATTGTTGACAGGAATGGAATATTTTTACTTCAAACCAACACAACTACAATTACTTCAGGAACTTTTGTAAGCCTCCAACAAAGAAACTATAGAAGAATCTAAAGTGCTAAAAAAAAAACCAGGTAAAGAACTTGAGATTAATCTCAGAAAACTCAAATTCAGAATATCTGATGAAAATACACAAAAGCTACAGAGAAGCAATAGGTGAAAAAATCATGGACAAAGGGAAGATAACATGGAAGCCAGGAGGTGCTTCCACTTATATACACACACATTGCCACAGAGATAAGGTTCTTCCCTTCTACTTTTTCTACACTCTAGAAGAATTAAAATAATATCCACTCCTTGCGCTCTGCAGTGGGTCTCACCTGTTTTTCATAAGCTGCTTTGTGATCCTTGCAGGGAAAGGAGCTAGTGAAACACAAAGTGGGCATCGTTCCTAGTCCTCTACCCTCCTGCATTTACATACCTTCTGTACTAAGAATGTATTAAGGATCAACTAATGTGTCATACAAGAGACGACTAAAAACTGCATGTGAAATCCAAACCACTTCAGTTTGTGGGAATTTTACTGCTGGCTGCAGTGGGAGTAGGATTTCACCCTCCACATGCTTTTCTACCAGAAAAGTTACCGGTCTTCCGAAGAGTGTAAACTCTCTGCTTCAACAAGAATGATTTAATGTAATACAAAGGATGCAGGCACAATAATTATGTGCAATCCAAAAAAAAAAAGGAGTAGTACCTCAGAATATCAGGATAGTTTTCATGATTGGGAGAATTATAAGTATTTTGAAGACTGTCCCAAGAAAAATTAAGGAAAAGTGTTTCGTTTTGAAATTCACAGCAAAACTGGGTGACATACTGCAACAGTCCTGAGCTGGCCACACAGGGAGCACAATACTTCTAATTTCCATGATTTCATTACATTCAGGGCCGCTGACAGCATATTTAAGAAAGTCTTGTATAACACTCCTGATGTCGGTTCCAAGAAGGAGCATTTGTCTAGCGTTTTCATTACAATGGTGTATCAACCGATTTTCTGTAATCAAAAAGGCTTTCTATTAAAAATGACTGAGAGGACGCAGCCTGGAAGATGACTGACTGAAAGGTAAAAGCCAAAGCAGCAGCAAAGCAATGCTCTGTATGCTAAGAAATAAGTCCCTGGCTGCAGAGAGAGAAACCAATCATTTAAAAGCTGCTTTCAGATCTTTCATTTACAGATACAAGTTCATAACAACAACCACCACCTGAAAATGAAGTATTCCCTCCAGATTGTATTTATGTTTTAATTCATAGCTGTTCAATATATATTTTATCTATTCCTGTCCAAGCAAGCTGGTTTG